CTTCCACTGCCCCCTGCTGTGTGGGGGGCTCTTCCATGAGCCCCCTGAAGCCCCAAGGTTGCTGCAGGAGCTGGTGAGTCTGCGGTCATTTTTGGGGGGTGGTTCTTAAAGGGCCAGGGCTGAGTCAGGCTGGAGGAGTGGGAGGCTCGCGACAGAGGGGGGGCAGCAGGGATCTCCCCCCCAACCCGTAAGCACCCAGTGAGTGGGGGCTATTTTTTAAAGCAATGGGAGTTGGGGCAGGCAGGATGGCCATGGGAGGGGGGCAGGGAGAATGGGCAGGGGTTGGGGGGGGCTGGGGGAGCAGGGATGAGTCCTGCCGATCCCATAGACATTTAGGCCTACATGATGGACTTACTGAGGTGAGTAAAGATATATATGTGTTTGTAGGATCAGGCCCAGAAATGGTTAAATTATGCTGACAGGGAATATGCAAAAGACATTTCTCTCATCCCTTTGTGAACTCGGAAAGGCAGCCATTCTGGAGGCGCTGACAAATAAATACTAATTCTGTCGCTCCAATAAAAGATATCACTTGCACAAATTCTTGCCTCTCTGGCACACAATAATACGCTAACGACGCTGTACATATTCGATTTCTTGCTAAATTCAGAGATGTGAAAAAAGGGAAGAGACGCAGGAAGTTTCTCTGGGTTTTCTCAATGAAAACTGAAGGCTGAATCCTTCGCTCTTCTAGAGACAACACGCCAAGGCAGACATCCCGAAGACTGTAATATTTTCTGGGACATCACTGTGCCTCTATGCTTTAATATCCTGACATCTGGAATCCTCAAACACTAATGTTTTCCCATAAATATCTGCTGAGATTAAACAGCCACATAGCAAGTTTCAATCTCGTGAGTCTATAATTGCTTGGGAAAAGAGAATGGGATTTTCCCCTCTAGCTAGGGAGCAAAAGACCTCTGGAAGCAGTTAATTATTGTGTAGTACTTACATGCCATTAGCCAGTGATGCCGTTATTTATTATTTGCACTATGGCAGCACATGGAGCTTGAGCCATGGATTGGGACCCTATTGTGCGGAGTGAAAGTTTCCAAATGAAATGTGAGCAAAAAGGATCCACACATCTGTGCCCTCCTTGTCTTTTTTTTTTTGTTTTTTTTTTCAGCCAAATTCAACCCAAGCAAAAATTTGGAGGAAAAAAAAAAATCCTTAAAAAAAAAAAAAAAAAAATCAATCCTTTGGGGGCGGAAAAAAAAAAATCTTAAAAAAAAAAAAAAAAGGCAGGGTTATAATAATTGTAATGAATAGATAAGAAAAAATAAATAAAACAAAACCTTTGCATTTCATTTTTTTTTTTTCATCATCTGTTTCACTTGAAAAACTGAAACACCTTTTGTTTTGGATCAACCCCAAAATAAGAAGTATTTCCCCCCTGAATTTTTGGGTAAGCCAGTGAAAGGAAAAAAAAAAAAAAATCAAGTATTTGTGCAGCTCTATGGGAACACAGAACAAAGAGAGATCCTTTGGCCCAAAGAGATTACAATCTAGGGAAGAGATGAGAAAGAAGAGGCAGATAGACTGAGCCGACAAGGAGACGCATCTCATTTCTTGCATTTTGAACCTTCAAAGTTACTGTGTGGATTAAATGGGAAATAACCCGGTCATGCATCTGGAAACAGACCCCACCTAGCCACCCATTTAATGCTATCTTGATGGAATAGTTCTCTGCCTTTCACTCAATCTTTTGTCCCAGGAGACCTTCCTTTGTGGTGGCTATGATCCCAGGGAACTGTTGACAGAAGGCAATGTTTATAAGTTGGACATCCAAATTGGAAGGGATGATTCAGAGGATGCCAAAAGCTGGAGAAATGTTGTTTTCGGCTGCATTTGAGAAACCACATGTCCCTAGACTGACGGCGGCAGGGATGCTGCATATTTAACCTGATGGCTTGAGTGCTTAGTTGTTAGCAGAGGCTTAAAAACTGCGGTGCAGCAATCTGATCAAGCTGCTGGAGTTGAGCAGAAGGCCTGGGTGTTCAGTAGGTAACAGGTGACTACAAAAAACAGAGGCACAGAGGGTGGGTGTTGATTAGTTAGATGGCTGCAGCCTTGATCTCTGCAACCTGCAATGTGAGAGGTTAAATTCCAACGGTATATCCGCATAAATCTGAAAATAATAGTGTTTGTCTACAGAGCAGTTCATCCGGATTCGCACTCCTAGCACAGAGGCAAGGCGAAAGTTGTGTGGATGAGGCCAGTGTCGGAAAAGCCCGTCCACTGCGGGAGCTGGCAGCGCGCTAAGCTAAATATTGGTAGAGGGTCAGGGAAAAGCAAAATGAGCATGAATTCATCCTCAGTTCAATCCGTGCTTTTCCAAAGGTGAAGCTTCAAAAGAGATGGAGCTGAAGGCTTCTGACAGAGGAACGCACAGAAATGACAGGCAGATTTGGGCTGATAAAAATCCCACTCTTCTTTGGGCAGTAAGAAGAAAATGCTACCATTTTTTGGCAGCCTGAGAGGCAGGCAGCATTTACCATATGCTGCTGGCATCATTGCATAAGGAGATAAACCCTGTGGAGCGCAGGTTGCCCCATTAGTGCCATTGAGATGGTGGGGGATTCCTGGCATGTATCACTATCACGTGCCTGTGAAAATGTAACACGCATCCAAAACAATCGGACACTGTGTGTGCATGAATGCGTGCTTTAAAAAGCTGGTGCTAAATGGTACACGGAGCCTGCTGGGATATTAGCATTGGCTTGTGATTCATAATCAGGGCAGAGAAGGTAGAGGGGGGAAAAAAAAAGAGCATGTTTATGCCTAGACAATGTATTAATCAGCCCTCTAAGCAGCCAGTGAGAGAGCGATCCTTAGAGGAAAGCCTTTACTGTGGGTACACATTAGACATTTTGTTTAAAGATTAAAGTTCTTCTCGTGTTTAATCAGTTTTCGAGCAGGATGGAAAACGGGATTAATTACAGTCCCTCGCATCAGCCTCCCATACTGCCGGAGTCACAAATGATGTGACTTTTCTGCAAAATGGCCGCTGTCAGCAGCAGGCTGAGGAAATGCTAATTGTAATTAAAGAGTTTATTTGGAATCACAGCTCAGAGTTGTAATCAGGAGGAGAACGGAGCCTTGCTGTGTGAACTTGCCGAATGTGGTTATAGAGCAAAATGGGTCTTTTTAAGCCAGAGGAAGTGTTCGTTAACCTTCTGGCACGGATTTTCAACCTGATTGCCCTCTTAGTAGGACACACATAAAAAAAATCTATGCTGAGCCAGTTAACACTGCTATTTTCAACATGCAGAGCACCTCTCATCCAAGGATCTCACTGCACTCTAAATAGGTGGATAAATGTTATTCTTGCTTTATAGAAGGACACATTAAAGCATAGGAAGATTAAGTCAATTTAGAAGACTTGCCTTGCAGATGGTCAGAAAGACATTACTGAACACAGGAACCCAGAAGCATGACTACCAAGCCCTTCTTCTATCCCTTGGCCAGCATCCTTTCAGAGCCGCAGACAAGACTGACCCATCTTGGACCTGGGGCAGGCTGTCGTTCTGGCCCGGCTGCCCGCCATGGTACAGCAAACTTGTCAGATATTGCAAAGTCTTACCAGCGTGCAAATAAAACTGTGGCCACTCCCAATCTGACTTCGGAAAAACGGACACGGGTGGTTCCAGACCCAGAGCACTTCCATCCAAATCCTTGAAGAGAGCCTTCCTTGAGCTTTCACATCTCATCTCAGGAAACACCGTATCCTCGTATTCATTGCTGCCGAAAGGCAGAAGAATCAATATTATCGTCAGGGAGACAGTAGGGAAAATCAGATGGTGGTGGCGTTTAAAGGGTTTTTTCATCGCTCATAAATGCATTTCTGTAGACATACATATCATGGTGATACTTCCAAAATGGAAGTGGGTAAATAGGGGAGAATTAGTAAAATCTGCTGAGTGAACAAGAGGTCTGATTGGCTTTGTCACCAAACTCTGTAGCAACGTGTAATTTCCTTGACACCAGGCCCAATGAGCAAAAATGAAATCTGGATCCCAACCTCCCAAATGCTAAGAATGATCATATTCAGAAACATATTTCTCCCTCAAGTAATTCCCATTCTCCTCTTTGTTGGAGAACTTCAAGATTTTGGCTCAGGCCATTATAGATAAGGCCAGCCACAAAATTTGGACCCAGTTCCAGGGTTGCATTTTGAATACCCCTATTGCCCAGAAACATTTCCAATTTTGATTCAGCACTTGTTTTCAAATAATTCAACCTTGCAGACAATCCATAGTGCCTCATAATCCAGCCACCAGAATCCACAGTGTTTTAATGCCTGTATCACTCAGACCAGGATGGAAATGACTGTGAGATACAATTCTGCACGGTTCCCTGGGTTGGTTTGACCCCTAACCCGGGGTTGTTGAACTAGTCACCTGTGGGCTGTATGTGGCCCCCAAGAGGTTGATGTGCAGCCCTCAGGCTCCTACCTGGCCACCATTCCCCACTTTACTCCAGAGGCAGCAGTAGCTGGGGTCCTCGGGCTCCCTCGCCCTCCTCTGACTTCCACTTCTTGTCCCCATCCCAGAGGACTGCACAGCCTAACATGGTGCAGCACAGCCCAGCCCATGGTGCTGGGGGAACCTGCAGAGCTGGGTACCCATGCAGCACTGTGCAGGAAGGGAGGTGAATCCAGAATACCCCTATATACAGTGCAGTTGTGGGGAGGGCAGCTACGTAGCATGTGGCCCAGGGGGATCACAGCACAGGACTGATCCCATTCTACCTCTTAGGTGCCAAAGTGGACGTACAATACTATCTATGCTGCTTGAGACCCTGAAAAACTGCTCATGCCAAAGGTGTGTGGGTTCTCCTCCACCCTGGGGCACTTTTGTGACTTAGTCTTAAGGCTAAGATCACAGGATGTTACAAAAGTAGACATATTAATGAGTTTCCAGGGACTTGAGTGGGGTGGAATACGATCACACTTAGGTGTCCAATCCACTTAAGCCCCCAGGAGATGGAACAGGCTCTGGCCCTGAATAGTGGACAGTTTTTGCAAGCTTGGATTTAATAAATGCATGCAAAAGATGCAGAAGCAACACAAAAAGCCTGGACCCTACCCAGAGGCTTAGCAGAATACTGAGAAAGCACTTTGCATTATGCGTGTCCATCAGGCACATTTGCAAATCATCAGATTTTGCAATGCTCTGTGAGGTAGCAGGTCACAAACAACATAATACAATGGACTGGATTCAGGAGTTAAGAATAATGGGAGATGACAAGCTGGACAGTGCTCAGAAATTCACATGCAAACTAAAGCCTGGAGCAAAAGAAAAAAAAAATGAACCCATTGACAAATCACTTGAGGGACTGTAGACTGGAGCAGTGTGAAGCACCTCTGATTATTTTTGACTAGTCATTGGGTTTCACTTCTTCTGCAAATGTTTCATGGCGGAGTGAGTCCCTGTGTTCCAATACTCCATACAAATCGAAACATAAATCAGCCTATGTTTCCAGAAAATCGTGTGCATTTGAATGGTTGACTCCTAAGGGTTGCAGATACACCTCTCCTTTATCCCTCTTCCAATATGTTCAGGAGATTATCTCTCTGGGCATGAGGATGGCTGGCACTCATCTGCCATCTCACAACCTTCCTGTAACCACTCAACATCAGTGATGTGATTTCACAGGCAAATAACCAACTCTTTTTCTCATGCCAGAAAGGATGATATATCCATCACCAATTTTTAACTTTTCTGGAGCCCCTGTTGTTGTTTAAAGCCAGCACTTGAGAAGTCAGCTGTGCTCAAGACCAAATATCAGATCCTACTTTTCCTACTCAGAAGGTAGTGGTAGGACTCCAGGAAGTTTGGTTTGGGGGAAGTTTTAAACCAAACTATCTGAGCCTTGTATCCTAAGTTAAGACAAATAATCAGATACTCAGATTTTTCCAGTTTTCCGTACGTGATCAGTACAAGAGCAGGTAGAAAAATGGACAGATCGATTTAAAAGGGTAGTTTGGATCAAAAAAATTAGTTCGGTACGTTATAACAATTCAGTTAATTATAGCACTTGGGTTTGGCCCTGAGTTTAAATTTTGAATATCCCCATGAATTTTGGTTTAGACTCATGTCCAGCTTCTAACTCCCACACTCCTAATGAAAAAACGAAACTCATTAGAAATAGATGGAAGCGGTACTTAAATATGCTAATTCTGTAGTGATGAGTGCTAAAGGCAGGTAAACATATGACCAGGTGGGGAATTGGTACCACACATGCATTATAAACATTGGTTGGGGGGGAGAGTAGCTTCTTAATAAGAAGAAAGCACACTACCTTGTTTGCAGCGTATGAAAGTAAAGCTTGTTCTTCTCATTGACATGTAGCATTCTCATCTTCTCAGATGTGATCGGGTGCATGATGCCAGTGCTATCAGGATTTAACATGATGCAGATGTCCATGTCATCACTATAGCAACTCTTTGTAAAACCGGTAAAGGTGACTTCTATGAAAAATTTAAAAAAAACCCCAAAACCCAACATTAATGCAACCCTTCTAAGAATTTAAACTGTTTCAGGCTTGCCACTTTACTAAAGACATAAACACGCAGACAAACCACTGGGAGACATGGGAGGGTGAGACCTTATGCCATGGCAGTTGTTCTGCAGCAATTGCCTGTGCGCATGCTCCTATATGGCAGTAAATGAGAATTAATCCATGTTAGTCAAGACTTCCTTCACTCAGGGCTAAGCTATAGTGGGCTATATTTCATTTCCCGTGGGCAAGAAGATACAAATGACAAAGTGATGTACAGTAAAGCACTGCTTTGTTTGCCTCACAGTGCCTTGTCTAACTGAGGTTTAACTCACCTGAAGTTAAAAATAGTGCTAGAGACCCCCATGAGGCTAATAGCACTTCCTAATATAAATGTATCATAAAGATACAAGATTGCAAGGTGCTCAGACACGTACACAATGGGGGGTCATATCAAAGCCTAAGACAATTCTTCCCAACCTTTTTAGACTCAAGGCACCCCTGGACAGGCTCCAGGCACCCCTTAGAAAATGCCAGCCCTTCATTTTCACTCATTTTCTGACTACAGAAAAATAATAGAGCAATCTTTCTGTGGCAAAGACTTCTGAAGGGCCACAGCAAGTCAGGATATTTATAACACCACAGATTCCTATTTGAAATCTCTGGGTTTTTTATTCTTTGAATAACGTTTGCACACTTAACACTGATAATATTGCATGGCATCCTATAGCACCTCAATGTACCCCAGGGTGCTGTAGCACCCTGGTTGAGAATCACTGGCCTAAGATAGGCAGATCTGAAACTACCCAGTGATCTGCATGCTTCTGTAATGCAACCTCTTGTGTTATTTGTAATGCATGTTACATTTGACCCAAGAACACAAGGGATAAAAGTCTACAATAATTCATTAAGTGAGTTTTACATGCTTCCACTGAAGTTATTTACTGTCATTACCCATTGTAATAATAATAATGATTATTGTCTGGCTTTTTTATAGCAGTGTTTACCAAAAAGAACCACAATACAGGTTAGTGACTCTGAACATGGCACCCCCCAGGGCAGAGGGTCGAACTCGACGATCTGCTGAGGTCCCTTCTGACCCTAATATCTACGAACACAGTAAACAACATCTGTAAAGCAGTTGACATCCTTGTTATCTTTATCCAGCCTTAGATACCAATAGATTAGGCAGGTATATCAAACAGAGAAACCGCTTCCTCCACCCCTGAAATAAAGGTCCTTTTGGAGTGATACGTGCAAGCTGTGCAGTGACACAGAGTACAATACAACAGTTAGGCAAACATGGAGGAACATTGGCCAACATCTAGGCTTCAGTGAAGTCAAAAGACATTTTGTCATTGACTTCTGTGGGACCAGAATGTCACTCACTGTATCCATTTCAGATTGCAGGAGAGGGTGGTGAATAAATAGGCAGAAAATAATGACTCCAGATGGGATTCATAGATTCATAGATTGTAGAGTCGGAAGGGACCACAATGGATCATCGTGTCCGACCGCCTGCCCCTGGCAGGAGAGAGGACCAAGGTCAGATGACCCCAGCCAGGTGACTATCTAGCCTCCTCTTGAAGACCTCCAAGCTAGGTGATAGCACCAGCTCTCTTGGAAGCCCATTCCAGATCCTGGCCACCCTAATATCTAACCTAAATCCACTCTCAACTAGTTTACACCCATTATTCCTAGTTACTCCCTGGGGCGTCTTAGTAAACAGCACTTCCCCTATTCCCCGTTGACCTCCCCTAATAAATTTATAGGCAGCCACAAGATCTCCCCTCAGCCGTCTCTTGTGAAGGCTGAAGAGATTCAGCTCTCTCAACCTCCCCCTGTAGGGTCTATCATGAAGGCCACTAATCATGTGAGTGGCCCTCCTCTGGACCCTCTCCAGATTCCCC